ATATCTATGCGATTCGATGTACACACTTTTACGTAAGATCCAGACCACACGACACCTTAACTATAGTACATATGCACTTGTATGCAACATGCACACACCAAACGAAGTAAATACAAACCAAATAACGCAAACGCATTTGTATGCAGCAGACACACGGGCCCAGTTCTAAGATTAGGCAGCATAGGCAACCGCCTACGGCGCATCTTTTTAAGGTTTTCAGGGGGCGAAATTTTTTCCCAAAATAAAATAAATTGTCGTTTGTTAGGCATTTTTTGAATTTTCTATAATCGGCATTTTCTGCAATTTTTTCATTGTTAATAATTATTGGTAATTTTTAACTGTTATAATGTATAAATTTATGTAGCATATTTTCCATTAAGATCAACATTTAGGTAGTCGACCCTTTTCTTGGTCCCTGAAAAAGGTCTTTTTTGAAAACGTTAAATCAATAGTAGTGGATCTTACACAGACTATAATTTTCAGAACCACTTTAAACCCCGTTAATAATAATCTCGTAATTAAATTGTAACACGTGTAATAATTATAATAAAACTGACACAGCCAGCAAATTTTTGAAATCACAGACTATAGATTTGTGTCTAGCCTTGAAACATTCAAACGCTGCTAAATCTTTTCTATACTATTATTGCTCTGATGAAGCTTTTTCAGCAATGATTGAGGAAGCCAAAATATTAGCAATAGAACTGGAAATTTGTAAGAATTCGATGACGAGAAATTCACGGGCGTGCGAAAACCGACAATTTTTATATGAAGGCACTGATGAAACTGACAATTTTTATATGAAGGCACTGATGAAACTGATAGTATCACCTGAACCAAAGTTTAGAGTATCTTTTTACAACTGGATATTATAGACATATCAAGTCAAGCAGTAAATGATAGATGCACTCAATTATAAAAACATAGTGCGTTATTTATGAGAGTGAAGTTAGGATAATCAGATTTCGTTTCATCTTTCAAATGAAAAATTAGTAGAGGGGCGGCATATTCGCACGTTGCCTATGCACAAGAGTGCTAGAACCGGGCCTTCACAGACACCACGCCACACCTTTGTAGGCCCGCACGAGATTGAGGCCCATAAAAGTCATTGACCTTCAAATCGACGCGCAATCAACAGCAGCGGCAGTAGCAACCACACGAGACACACATACCACCATCTGAGCTAACGTCCCAATCAGTATCTTTTTTTTATTTAGTTCGTCAAACTCCGACGAATGCAGAGGATGTTACAACATGCAAGGCTTGCAATTATCATTACTATTATTAATTATTATTATCACTATTATTAATTATTATCACTTTTATCAATTATTATATTAACCATTATTAATTATTATCATTACTATTATTAATTATTATTATCACTATTATTAATTATTATTATCACTATTATCAATTATTATATTAACCATTATTAATTATTATTATTTACTATCATTTCAAATATTAACATTGCCGTTGCGCAAAAACCCGAAACGCAAAAAATCCAAACTAATTGGATAGCAGGATATAAACAAACGCTTAGAAAATTATTACTATTATTATAATCATTGTCTTTATTACTACTATTATCTAATATGATTTTATTATTATTATTATTGTTGTTGTTGTTATAGAGAGGAGGAAAGTGTACTGCAGAGGGCTGAAAGAGCTATGGTGAGGATGATGTGTGGGGTTAAAGTGAAGGATAGGAGTAGTAAAGAGCTGATGTCAATGATGGGACTGAATGAGGGCATTGTGACATTGATAAGGAGATCGAGATTGCGGTGGTATGGACATGTGTTGAGAAGGGATGAAAGGGTCGGGATTAGGCGAGCGTTGGAGTTCGAGGTTGAAGGAGTGATAGGAAGGGATCATCCGCGATTGGGATGGAGAGAGCAGTTGGAGAAGGACATAGTGAAGGCGGGGTTGCGTGATACTGAGGCGAGTGACAGATGTGGATGGCGTCGAGGGGTATTTCGGTTTCATCATAGGTAGCCAAACGGCAACTCCCGATCTCGGGGAAAATGCCGTCTAAACGTGTGTTGTTGTTGCTGTATTATTGTTGTTGTTACTGCCAGTTCAATGACCACCACGTACGTAAATAATAATTTTTTTCAAGCTATTAAAGAGCCAGAGAGAGAGAGAGAGAGAGAGAGAGAGAGAGAGAGAGAGAGAGAGAGAGAGAGAGCAGAGAGAGCAGAGAGAGAGAGA